CTGAAGATGTTATTTAAAGGTCACACATGCAGCCCAAGAAGCTATTAGTGGGGGAGATGTCAGTTGGTCAGCTGGCAGCCTGCTTGTGAAGAACATCCAACCTTTGTCTGAGGGCCCACAGAACCCCCAGCCCCACTAGAGGCCTCAGATAGCATGTACAGTTGACACATTCATAGGCAGGCAGATCACAACCACATTTCATTTCCAGGACAGATTCCTCCCCTTTGCTTCTTCTTAGGAAGGCTTCTACCACAACTTTAATCCTGTCAGTAAGAAATAATTTTAATTATAAGCCAAAGGCCTCTACTCCAGATGAAAGATCTCTCTCTCTCTCTCTTCCCCTCTCTTAGCCTGACTTTCAAATAAGTAAACTAAATAAGTACATAAAAAAAGCTTTATATAAAATGAGTGGTTCATTTGAACAGAGGAGTGATATATATGTCCAGAAGTACCAGAGGGAAACTGGCTTTGGGCCCCCTCAAGGAGTGAGCAGAGAGTTTTTCTCAGATGAAGCAAATGGAGGAAGTATCTGAGAGGGCACAGCCAGGGGACTGCCCCTTTGTTGTGCTTCCTGGTGAGGTCCCAGGCTATGGAGGTACTCAGCAGGTGGGCTGTTTGTTATCCTCTAAGGTTGGATTTTAAATTCTTGTAGAAGTTAAAAGAAAGGGCTCTATTTAAATATTTGTAGAAGTCCATTTAAAAGAAATGGCTCCAAGTTAAGTGTTATTTGACATGCTAATGGGTAACTCAAAACATTTTCCTCTTTGGGACAGGCCCCATAGAGACGCCAAACCTATGCTGTGCATTGGTGAGAAAAAGGCTTCCTGAGAACTCTGCAGAAGAGAGGTTTCAGGTAGAAAAATGGAATTCAAAATAACCATTCATGTTTCTTCAAAATTCCATTAGAATGTTAGGATAGGTATTCTAGCATGCATGGCTCAAGGTCTGAGTGATTGTGATATGAATCACATTGACTATAGATTGCTTTGGGTAGTATTGCAGTCTTGAAAGATTTAAGTCTTCTAATACATTAGCATGACATGTCCTTATATTTATTTTGTATTTATTTCATTTCCTTCACTAATGTTTTGTAATTTGAGGAGTGTGAGTCTTGGCTCAATGATAACTTTATACATAAATACAATGTTACTTGTTGTGAGCATAGTAATGGCACTAAGGCTGTGTTGGTTCCAATAAGAATTTTATTATGGAGTGGGGAAGTCAGACATTCTAATTCACACAACACACTGGGCAAACTGACCACCCAAGGTTCCCAAAGTACCTCTGATACTCCTCACAAGGTGTCTTAGCCATGGGGGCATCCGCATGGGTGGTGCCCCCAAGCCAAAGAATGAAAGGGTGAGTAGAGTCTCGGCTTCAGGTGAGCAGGGCTTCAATGTCAGATGAGCTCAGAGCTGGCATCAGGCAAGCAGGCCTCAGCATTGGGTCAGCTCAGATTCTCAGCATCGGGCAGGCACAGGGCTGGCTGAGAGAACTCTCTTGTTCTGAGTGCAGTGGGTTAACCTGGAGCTGTTGCTCTGCTGCTCTCAGGAGAGTCTGCTCAGAGTCTCCCTGGGCCTCTTCAGTCTGCAGTTTGTATACACTTTTGTTGCTCAGCATAGGGCCGATAAGGTCCTGAGGAAGGTGTGTGTGGGTCATGGGTGGTTCTTATCCAGTCCATGCACATCTCCTGCAGTCAGCTTAGCTGTTGCTTATTGCTAATAGTGTGGTGAGGCTGTGTAATCTCTGCTCCTTACATGTAAGTGAGACAAGTGTGAGTATGCCTGCATTTATGAGTGTGGTTGTGCATGTGTGTGTTTGTATTTGTGTGCACACATAATGCTTCTATGGGTATGTGAGGGTGTCTTATGCTTACATGTGTGAGTGTGTGACTGTAGTGAATGTGGTTGTGTGTGTGTGAATGTGAAGGGTTAAAAAGTTAAAAGCCGCTTCCCCCCCCCAACCTCCTCTGGTGAACTTTCCTGACCTCGTTAGACTTGCTCTGCATAGCCATTCTCTGTAAAGTTAATTAGTCAGTAAATTACCCCAATGTGAGCGTAACCTTAGTTTCACCTAAGTAAGATAGAAGAAGTCACCGTATATCTCTTTGCCTCCTGGAACTCTGACCCCACCATGTGTCCCTTATCGCCATTCAGCTGCATTCCTAGGTATCATCAAGGCAGTTCCTGCAATCTTGTGTGGCCCTCCCTTTTGGCAATAGGAGACTTTTTGATACTCCCTGTATAGGCCATATGGTTCTTTGAGGTCTAATCAGGCCCTTACTCGGTATCTTATACTCCCTGTATTCATAAATCAACTGATTGTAAAATCACTTAACTTGTATCAATTGTTTACTCTATACCACTGTCTGCTCTATGCAATGATTGATTTTCTTTGTTTCAATGTGTATAAAAACCCCAACCCAAGACTATTCGAGGCCGCTCGCCTGTACTGGGACGGGGGCCCCGACATGTTGGAACATCAATAAACTTTACCCTTTGTTAATTACATGAGAGAAGGTCTCTTGGAGCGTTTTTGGGGTGGCAAGAGCAATTCAACTCTAATTCAACTGTAACATATGGAGGTCCCACCGAGATAGCTCTGCTGCCCACGGACGTCTCCAACGGACATCTCTCGGGGTAAGTAAAGGCGCCTAAAGGATAGGGACTCTGTGCACGTGCATTTCTGTTTCTGTATCTGGTTCAGGCCTGAAGCGGTTTCGGGCTGGCATGGTAGACGTTGGGCTGGCAGACGTGCCCAGAAGCCACAACGCTACAGCCTCGAGGGATGCCTCGGGAGGACCGGGAGACTGAGGACGCTCAGCGAAACTCCCATCTGGAATTCCCGCGGTCGGGAATTTGGTGCCAGCATCAGTATTCATCCTTTTCTTTCAGGTTTTACTTCTATTGCATAAACTGTTTTCAGACTCACATTTTGTATTGCCGGCATTGTCACAGGACTCTGATGCGGTTCCAGAGTCTGTGTTTGTCTGTTTGTGTGTGGCATTGTCGCGAGACTCTGAAGTGGTCCCAGAGTCTGCATTTGTAGGTTCTGAAGTGGTTCCAGAACTTGCATTTGTATTGTCGGCATTGTCACAGGGCTCTGATGCGGTTCCAGAGTCTGTGTTTGTCTGTTTGTGTGTGGCATTGTCGCGAGACTCTGAAGTGGTCCCAGAGTCTGCATTTGTAGGTTCTGAAGTGGTTCCGGAACTTGCATTTGTATTGTCGGCATTGTCACAGGGCTCTGATGCGGTTCCAGAGTCTGTGTTTGTCTGTTTGTGTGTGGCATTGTCGCGAGACTCTGAAGTGGTCCCAGAGTCTGCATTTGTAGGTTCTGAAGTGGTTCCGGAACTTGCATTTGTATTGTCGGCATTGTCACAGGGCTCTGATGCGGTTCCAGAGTCTGTGTTTGTCTGTTTGTGTGTGGCATTGTCGCGAGACTCTGAAGTGGTCCCAGAGTCTGCATTTGTAGGTTCTGAAGTGGTTCCGGAACTTGCATTTGTATTGTCGGCATTGTCACAGGACTCTGATGCGGTTCCAGAGTCTGTGTTTGTCTGTTTGTGTGTGGCATTGTCGCGAGACTCTGAAGTGGTCCCAGAGTCTGCATTTGTAGGTTCTGAAGTGGTTCCAGAACTTGCATTTGTATTGTCGGCATTGTCACAGGGCTCTGATGTGGTTCCAGAGTCTGTGTTTGTCTGTTTGTGTGTGGCATTGTTAGAAGATTCTCTTGTCATTTAGCATTTGTATGGGATGCCGGGATGGCTCCCGTTTGGTAGGTTTAGAATCTGCATATGTATTGCCAGCATTGTTGCGGGGCTCTGAAGTGGTCCCGGAGTCTGCCTTTGTATCGCTGGCATCGTCACGAGGCTCTGAGGTGGTTCCAGAGTCTGCGCGACCAGTAGCTTATCTCAGATTCTTTGTAGACACTTTGTGTGGTCGTTGTGTGCTGATTTTCTACACTGTTTGTCTGTTCGTGTATATCGTGTTGACTGCTAATATGGGCCAGACTGTGTCTACACCTTTGTCTAATTTTGAATCATTGGTCAGAGGTAAGCGGCCGGGCGCATGACCTCTCTTTGATAGTCAAGAAGGCGAAATGGCAGACCTACTGTGCCTCTGAATGGCCAGCTCTCGGGGTGGACTGGCCCCCTGGTGGCTCTTTCCATCTACCACTCATCAGGAGAGTGAGGGAAGCCGTGTTTCAGCCTGGTCGCCAGGGACACCCGGATCAACAGCCGTACATCTTAGTTTGGCAAGATTTGTGTGAGAATCCTCCCGAATGGGTAAAATCTTTTCAGCCACCGCCTGACTCTCGGGCTGCAACTTTGCCGATAAAAACGCTGAATCCCGCGGTAGCGCCAAAGCCGCCACCGGTGTTGCCCGAGTCTCAACAAGATCTTGTAACCCTTGACTCATTACCTCCTTACTCCCGAACACCCCTGTACCCCTCTCTCCCTTCTCCGCCTCCTACCTCTCCTGCGTCTCCCAGCCCCCCACCTTCCAGCGGACCTGAGAGTCCTTTCAGTACCGCTTCGGCTCCTTCCGAGCCTCCTGCATCTCCCCCATCATTGGGGGGGCCAGCACAGGGAACTCGGAGTAAGAAAGCGCAAAGTCCGCAGGACGCGGTGATACTCCCGCTACGACCAATTGGAACGATGGTGGAGGGTGGGGACGGAGATGGTCTGCAGGCACTCCAGTATTGGCCATTTTCCTCCTCTGATCTTTATAACTGGAAAAATAACAACCCTCCTTTTTCAGAGGACCCTACTCGCCTGACGAACTTGGTCAAGTCACTAATGTTTTCCCATCAGCCCACCTGGGACGATTGTCAGCAGCTGTTAAATACACTCTTCACCTCAGAGGAGCGGGAGAGAATACTTATGGAAGCTAGAAAGAACATCCTTGGACCGGATGGGAGACCAACATGGCTCCAGCACCTCATTGATGATTCTTTCCCCTTGCGCCGACCTGACTGGGACCCTAACACCTGAGCAGGTAGGGAGCATCTGTCCATCTATCGCCAGTCTCTAATGATAGGACTCCGAGCTGCGGCCCGGAAGCCCACTAATTTGGCTAAGGTAAGGGAAGTACTACAGGGACCAGAAGAGACGCCCTCTATGTTTTTGGAGAGATTAATGGAAGCATATCGTAGGTACACCCCATTTGACCCCCAATCAGAGGGGCAAAGAGGTTCAGTGTCTATGGCTTACATAGGACAGTCCGCCCCCGATATCCGCCATAAGCTACAGCGCTTGGAGGGGCTCCAAGACCTGACATTGCGGGACTTGGTAAAGGAAGCAGAAAAGGTGTACTATAAAAGGGAGACAGAGGAAGAGAAAGAGCAGCGAAAAGAAAGGGAACGAGAGGAAAAGGAAAAGCAGCGGGCAGCTGAGAGAGAGGAGCAGGAAAGAAAAAAGGAACTAGAAAGGGAGGAACGGGAAAGTGCTAGAGAAAAGAAAAGAAACCAAGAATTAGCAAGAATTTTGGCTGCTGTGGTAGATAAACAAGAAGGTAAAAGAGTCGGGCCAGGCCGGCGGTGCCGGCCTCCCTTAGACTCAGATCGATGTGCTTACTGCAGGGACAAGGGACACTGGGCGAGAGACTGCCCCAAGAAAAAAACGATGCCTCCCAAATCTAGCACAGCCACCGCTTTGGCCCTAAAGGAGGAGGATGATTAGGGGCGTCGGGGCTCAGATCCCCTCCCCGAGCTCAGGGTAAATTTTAACGTGGAGGGGACCCCCATAAATTTCGAAGTTGACACGGGAGCAGTCTATTCAGTGCTGCGGGAGCCCTTGGGTCCCCTGTCCAGCAAGAGATCGCTGGTGCAGGGGGCTAACGGCAGTCAATATCGGCCGTGGACTACGAAACGGACTATGGACTTGGGTAGGGGAAAAGTTCAGCACTCCTTCCTAGTCATCCCTAATTGTCCGGCTCCACTAATGCGGAGAGATTTGCTTACCAAATTAAGGGCTCGAATAACCTTTGAACCGGCTGGGCCCCGAGTGGAGTTTCTAAATCCCATAGTAGACGCTCCAGTGGCTACGGTATTGACCATGTCGGTGGAAGATGAGTACCGACTCCATGAAAAGCCAAAAGAAACTAAAGAATTAGAAATTCAAACCTGGCTTACTGCTTATCCTAACTCTTGGGCAGAAACGGCGGGATTGGGGCTGGCTGTATGTCAGCCCCCGGTGGTCGTCATTTTAAAAACCAGTGCAGGGCCGGCGCCGCGGCTCACTAGGCTAATCCTCCGCCTAGCGGCGCCGGCACACCGGGTTCTAGTCCCGGTCGGGGCGCCGGATTCTGTCCCGGTTGCCCCTCTTCCAAGCCAGCCCTCTGCTGTGGCCAGGGAGTGCAGTGGAGGATGGCCCAGGTGCTTGGGCCCTGCACCCCATGGGAGACCAGGAAAAGCACCTGGCTCCTGGCTCCTGCCAGCGGATCAGCGTGGTGCACCGGCCGCAGCGCGCCGGCCGCGGCGGCCATTGGAGGGTGAACCAATGGCAAAAGGAAGACCTTTCTCTCTGTCTCTCTCTCTCACTGTCCACTCTGCCTGTCAAAAAAAAAAAAAAAAAAAAAAACCAGTGCAGTCCCGGTTCGGGTCCGACAATACACTATGAGTAAAGAGGCCAGGGAAGGAATTCGGCCCCACATAAAAAGACTACTTGCCTTGGGAGTCCTAAAGACTTGTCACTCAGCTTGGAACACGTCCCTACTGCCAGTTAAAAAGCCTGGAACACCGGACTATCACCCGGTGCAGGACCTAAGGGAGGTCAATAACCGTGTACAGGACATCCATCCCACTGTGCCCAATCCCTACAATCTGCTAAGCACTCTTAGCCCTGATCGTGTTAGGTATTCTGTACTGGATCTGAAAGATGCCTTCTTTTGCTTGAGATTGCATAATGACAGCCAGCTACTGTGCCTTTGAGTGGCAGGACCCTGAGGAGGGGATATTGGGACAATTGACTTGGACTCTGTTACCGCAAGGTTTCAAAAATTCGCCAACCATATTTAATGAGGCTCTTCACCAAGACCTGAGCCACTTCCGGAGGGACCACCCGGAGGTGACCTTATTGCAGTATGTAGATGACCTGCTGCTGGCCGCTGCGACTCGGGAACACTGTGAGTACGGAACAAAATCGCTGCTGCAGGAGCTGGCTCGGCTAGGTTACAGGGCCTCGGCCAAAAAGGCTCAGCTATGCAGGAGGGAGGTCACCTTCTTGGGATATACTCTTAAGAATGGAAAACGCTGGCTAACTGAAGCCCGTAAAAAGACTGTGACTCAAATTCCTGTCCCCACTACTCGAAAACAGCTTCGAGAGTTTTTGGGGACGGCAGGATTTTGTAGACTATGGATTTCAGGATTTGCGTCTCTAGCTTCTCCCCTCTACCCATTGCTCAAGGGAGATAAAAAATTTGAGTGGGGGTCGGAACAGCAACAAGCATTCGATGGCATTAAACAGGCGCTGTTATCGGCACCAGCCCTAGCCTTGCCAAACATTGAAAAGCCTTTCACCCTTTACATTGAGGAGCAAAAAGGGGTGGCCAGGGGAGTCCTGACCCAGACCCTAGGACCCTGGAAGAGGCCGGTGGCCTATCTGTCCAAACGACTGGACTCCGTTGCGAGCGGGTGGCCCCGATGCTTAAAGGCTATCGCCGCTGCCGCCCTGCTGACCAAAGACGCGGACAAATTAACTTTGGGACAGAAACTAACCATCATAGCTCCGCACTCCTTAGAGAGTGTCATACGCCAGCCACCTGACAGGTGGCTCTCGAATGCTCGCATCACTCATTACCAGAGCATTCTTCTGGACAAGGAACGAGTTACCTTCGGCCCACCTACTGTGCTGAATCCCGCCACCCTGCTACCAGATGAAACCGCTGACCCTGTCATCCACACCTGCCAGGATATCTTGGTGGAAGAAGCCGGCGTCCGCCGAGACTTGACAGATCAGCCTCTGCCCAACCCGGAGGTAACATGGTTCACGGACGGGAGCAGCTTCATATCAAACGGTAAGCGGCGGGCCGGGGCAGCGGTAGTCAGCGCAACGGACATTATTTGGGCGGCCAGCCTGCCGGAAGGAACTTCGGCCCAAAAGGCTGAACTAATCGCCTTAACTAAGGCATTGGAACTGGCGGAGGGAAAAAGAGCAAATATATATACTGACAGTCGCTATGCTTTTGCCACAGCCCACGTCCATGGGGCGATTTACCAACAGCGAGGACTACTAACCTCAGCAGGAAGAGAAATAAAACAAAAGACTGAAATCCTCTGTTTGCTAGCTGCAGTCTTACTACCCGCCAAGCTGGCAATAATCCATTGCCCTAGCCATCGGAAAGGGGCTGACCCGGTGGTCATGGGGAACCGGAGGGCGGATGAAGAAGCTAAGGCAGTTGCCCTACGAGACCCTGAAATACTAAGCGTCCTTGTAGCAGAGAGGGAAAGTGAACTCCCATCAGAAACAGGGGAGGACTCATCGGAAAAACAGGCCCTTTCTTATTTATAACAAGTCCACCAGTTCACTCACCTTGGGGCGCAAAAGCTACAAAGCTTGTTAAGAAATCAGCCATTTTCTCTCTCTCCTTCTGACAATAGGCGACTGGCAGAGCGGGTTACCAAGAACTGTAAGGCCTGCCAAGCGGTAAATGCCCACCCAACTCAAACACCAAGCGGGAAGAGACTAAGGGGGAATAGACCGGGGCAATATTGGGAAGTAGATTTTACTGAAGTCAAACCGGCTAGGTGTGGCTATCGATACTTGCTAGTTTTTGTAGACACATTCTCAGGGTGGGTGGAGGCCTACCCCACCCGCAAGGAAACAGCCCTGGTTGTGGCCAAAAAGATTATGGAAGAAATCTTTCCCCGGTTTGGGCTTCCCAAGGTGATTGGGTCTGATAATGGGCCAGCGTTCGTGGCACGGGTAAGTCAGGGATTGGCTAAAATACTGGGAATTGCCTGGAAGTTGCATTGTGCTTACCGACCTCAAAGCTCAGGACAGGTAAAAAGAATGAATAGAACAATTAAGGAAACTTTGGCTAAATTGGCTATGGAGACTGGCTTAAAGGATTGGACTATGCTCCTACGTTATGCTTTGTTCCGGGCTAGAAACACTCCTTCTCCTACTATGTTTAACCTCACCCCTTTTGAAGTACTGTATGGTTCCCCGCCCCCGGTTGAAAGTTTTGCCACTACTATAGATACCCAATCTTTGCCTTATACCCCCTTAATTGTTAGGCTAAAGGCCCTGGAGGACATCCAGAGATTCGTTTGGAGGCAGCTCTCCGCACATTACCAGCCAGGAGAAGTGACTGCGCCACATCGCTTCCAGGTTGGAGACTCTGTCTACGTAAGAAGGCACAACCAGAGCAACTTGGAACCACGCTGGAAAGGACCCTACGTGGTGCTCCTTATGACACCGACGGCTGTAAAGGTAGATGGCATCACTAACTGGATCCATGCATCTCATCTCAAACCTGCACCTGCGCCGGGGCCCGGATGGCGGCTTGAAAAGACTGACAACCCGTTTGAACTTCGGATTCGCCGTGTGGGTGGTGGGAATGGGGGTCCTGCCCCTAGCTTGTAGTAATCCACACGAGCCTCAGTTGTTGACGTGGGAAGTAGTCTCCCCCATAGGATGCATAGCTTGGTCTGTTCAGGGGACTCATACGCCGGGAACTTGGTGGCCCCCGTTATATCCTGATATATGCCAACTAGTGGTAGGATTAGATGATTGGGACTTGGAGGACCTCAATGAGGTCCCCCTTACTCTCCCACATGACCCTAACAATGCTCACACTCACCGGGGGTCGGGGTTGCTGGGTTGCGGGTTGCCAGATAAAAGATGCCTGTTAAGGCAGTTAGACTATTATGTTTGTCCTAAAGATGGAAGATCCAGACAACAGGAAAGACAATATGGGGGGCTAGAATCGTTGTATTGCAAAGCATGGGGATGTGAGACCACGGGGTCAGTCCACTGGAAGCCTTCCTCCCAGTGGGATTGGATTTCTGTTCACCGCAATTACATCCCAGAGGGTTATACAATGTGTCTATTTAACCCAAAAGTCCCTGGGTGGTGCCATTCGACCCCTCTCTGCAACCCTCTTAACATCACTTTTACTAACAAGGGAAAAGAATTATCCACACTGGCTGAATGGATAAAAGGCAGAACTTGGGGCCTGCGGTACTATGTTTCAGGGACTGATTTTGGTTTATGGTTTACTATAAGGTTAAAAAAGACAGTAGCCCCCGTAGCAATAGGCCCAAATCCAGCGGTAAGGCCAAACCCCATCCCCGAGGTCAAACCTAAACCCCCATTTAAGCCTGCCCCCACTGAGGCCCCAAGTCCTAAGGTTACTCTGCCCACCTCATCAGCAGTTTCCATCACCTCCAGTATCCGACTGGAGACACACCCCCTCTTTAATCTCATCAAAGGAGCCTATACTGCTCTTAATTACACACAAGGAGGGATTAAGCCCTGTTGGCTGTGCCTATCGGCAGCGCCCCCTTATTATGAGGGAACCGCTATTAATGGGTCACCCAGACCCATGAATTCCACCTCTTGCGATTGGGCAGGGGGACATAAACTTACTCTCCCAGCGGTCTCGGGGCAGGGGTTATGCATTGGGAGAGCCCCACCAACAGTTGCAAGGACACTCTGTAATAACACTGTTGTTCTTAATACCTCCCTTTCTGGGTATTGGGCACCGCAGGACGGTGCCTGGTGGGCATGTAATACTGGAATTACTCCCTGCATCTCAATTTCTATATTTAATCAGAACAAAGACTACTGCATCATGGTCCAGCTGTTACCGAAAATATTGTACCATGATGCCAGCTCCTTTGAGGATGCAATGGAAAACAAAGTACTTAGAGTTAAGCGAGAGCCTGTATCCCTGACCTTGGCAGTCCTCCTAGGCCTTGGAACAGCTGCAGGCATTGGAACCAGAGCAGCAGCCCTAGTGACAGGAGAACAACATTTATCTCAGCTAAAGGTAGCCATAGCCCAAAATATCAAAAACATAGAAGACTCAGTCACGGCATTAGAACAGTCCCTAACCTCCCTATCCGAAGTGGTGTTGCAAAATAGAAGAGGGCTGGACCTCATTTTTATGAAAGAAGGAGGCCTATGTGCAGCCCTCAAGGAAGAATACTGTTTCTATGTAGACAAAACCGGGGGTAGCAAGAGATAATATGGCTCAGCTTCGTAAACGTCTCAAGGAATGACAATGGGATAAAATTCAACAACAGGGATGGTTTGAGTCATGGTTTACCAAGTCACCGTGGTTAACTACCTTACTGTCAGCCATCACTGGCCCCTTAGTAGTTCTGCTCCTGATCGTTACCATAGGCCCTTGCATGTTAAATAGGCTTGTCACATTTCTTCAGAAGCAAGTCGAAAATGTTAAACTCATGGTAATTCGTCAACAATATGTAAGACACGGGGAAGGGGAAACAGATGGTCTCTAAGATTAGAGACCCTGGCCTAAGAGGAGTGGGGAATGAAGGGTTAAA